CAAGGTCCACACAACTGGTGGGAGCAGAATGTGAGACCACACCGCAGAGTGGGTAACCAGCTGTATTACTCAGGCTATTTGCAAAATAATGAAAGCATTAGTAAGTGTGGAGTTGATTAAGCAGCTTCTACTATATTACCTAGGCTAAACTCTTAGAAACAGGATTGCCAGGACAGAAGCATAAACCTTTTGAAGATTTTTATCTTTAGGATTTAGCTGTTGGTAAAATACACCAAAAATACACAAACACAATTTATTCTTCCATTTGATCTGGACTTCAATTTTACTAGCTCAAACACAATTTACTTTATCAATTTTAGAAGTCCTATTTCATTTGTAAAATAATATAAAATAGAGCCGGGGATGTGGCTCAAGCGGTAGCGCGCTCGCCTGGCATGTGTGCGGCCCGGGTTCGATCCTCAGTACCACATACAAACAAAGATGTTGTGTCCGCCAAAAACTAAAAAATAAATATTAAAAATTCTCTCTCTCTCTCTCACTCTCTCTTAAAAAAAGAGTCTTTATTAAAAAAAAAAGAATATGAAATAAGATACATAAATGTAAAATGTAGCTATCCCCTAAGTTTACATACTTTTTAATGTCTATATAACTACTGACAATTTAAAAAGTTTAAAAGTTGTCAGTGGATTGGTACATTCCTGTAACCCTGAATAATGCAGGATTTCAAATTCAAGGCCTGCCCAGGCAACTTAACTATCTCAAAAATTATATTTTAAAATGCTTTGGGTATGACTCTACTTCATGCACAACCAGAGAAGTGAAAAATTCTGCTCCATTTGTATACAATGAATCGAAGAGCTTTCTACTGTCAAATGTAACCGATTAGAACTAGTAAATTAATTAATTTTTTAAAAACCGTTTTGGGCATATAGCTCAACAGCCCTTGGGTTCAATCCCCAGTACCAGGAGTGGGAGGGGGGGGAAGCAGGGGAGTTTAAAAGTACACAAAATGCAGTATAAAAGCAATGCACTAGACGGGCACAGTGGTACACACCTGTAATCCCAGTGGCTTGGGAGGTGGAGGCAGGAAGATGAAAAGTTCAAAGCCAACCTCAGCACCACCGAGGCACTAAGCAACTCAGTGAGACCCTGTCTCTAAATACAAATTAGGGCTGGGGATGTGGCTCAGTGTTTGAGCACACCGGTCTCCCTCCCTCCCCCCAAAAAAGCAATGCACTAGGGGCTAGGGATATAGCTTAGCTGATAGAGTGCTTGCCTCACATGCACAAGGCCCTGGGTTCAACCCCCAGCACCATTATTTAAAAAAAAAAAGCAATCCACTATATTTTTGCTTTCTTCTATAGTACTGTATAATATATTCCATTAGTCTGGTATTCTAATATAGTTCATTATATATTCTGATTTTAAAAAATCATACCCCTCCAAACATTTTAATTTAATCACCCAACACTTTCACTCATAATAAAGACCATAGTGACTAGGACTTTTGACTATATAATTATTTTCTTTATTGACTAAAAAAAGTTTAATTGTGATAAAAATTTATTATCCTAATCTGAAAAGTTTTTCCCCAGTGGATGCTTATTATTTTTAGCTATGGATCTTTTTTTTTTTTTTGGTACTGGGGATTGAACCCAGGGCACTTAACCACTTAGCCACATCCCCAATCCTTTTTTATTTATTAATTATTATTACTATTGGTACAAGGAATTGAACCTAGAGGGGCTTAACCACTGAGTCACATCCCCAGCCCTTTTCATTTCAAGACAGGGTCTCATTAAGTTGCTCAAGGATTCACAAAGTTGCTGGGGTTGGCACTGAATTGAGATCCTCCTGCCTCAGCCTCTGGAGTTGCTGGGATTACAGGTATGCACCAGTGCACCCAGCTCCACATTAGTATTCATTTTGACATAATTATAAAAGCATGAAACATAATTTGGTATAATTCAGTCCATAGTACTTCCCCTTTCCCTCCCTTCCTCTCTTCCTTGTTCTCTTTACTCTACAGTTCTGCTATTTACTTATTTTTAGTTGTAGTTTTTTAAAAAAATTGGTATACCTTGTAGATATATATAAAGGAGAGATTAACTGTGGTATATTCATATATGTCTATCGGAAAGTTAGATCAGGTTCACTTCACTGTTCTTTCCTTAAGCTGTCCCCCTATATTCCCTTCCTCTACTCCACTAATCTTTCTTCTATTTTCATGGAATTCCTCCCTGCTCTTTTCTTTTCTCTTTATTTTGGATTGGCTTCCACATATTAAAAAAAATTTTTTTTGACCTTTGACTTTCTGGGTCTGGCTTATTTTCATTAGCATGATGGTCTCCAGATCCATTAATTTACTGGCAAATGCCATAATTTCATTTTTTATGGCTGAGTAATACTCCATTGGGTATACAGACCATATTTTCTTTATCCATTTAGCTGTTGACAGACATCTAAGTTGGTTCCATAGCTTGGTTATGGTGAATTATCTTGCTATAAACACGAATGTGGCTGCATCCCTATAGTATGCTGATTTTATCTTTTAAATACATAACAAGGAGTGGTATTAGTTGGGTTTTAGGGTAACCACCTACATTTCTTTTTTTTTTCTTTCTTTCTTTTTTTAGGAATCTCCATACTGCTTTCTAGAGTGGTTGCACTAATTTGCAATCCCACCAACAATGTATAAGTGTATCTTTTCTCCCACATCCTTTCCAACATTTATTACTTATATTCTTGATAACTGCCATTCTGACTGGAGAGAGATGAAATCTATGTAGTTTTTTAAAAAATTTTCTGAATTATAGATGGACACAATACCTTTATTTTATTTATTTCTATGTAATGCTGAGGAGTGAACCCAGTGCCTCACACATACAAGTGTGCTGCCACTGAGCTACAACCCCAGCCCTCTATGTAACGTTGATTTGAATTTCCCTAATTGCTAGAGACGTTGAACGTTTTTTTTTCATATGTGTTGGCCATTTGTATTTCTTCTTTTGAGAAGTATCTGTTTAGCTCTTTCCCCATTTATTAAATGGGTAATTAGGGTTTTTTGTTTTTATGTTAAGTTTTGAGTCCTTTATATTTTCTGGATATGAATGCTCTGAGAAGCAGGAGGCAAAGATCTGCTCCCGTTCGGTAGGCTCTCTCTTTATGGTCTTGTTTCCTTTGAGGTGCAGACACTTTTATTTGATCCCATACCACTTATAAGCAAATTTGAAATTTTATACCCATTAAACAATTCCCCATTTCCTCCTTCCATTAGTCATTGGCAATCACCATTATATTTTCTGTTTTTATGAATCTGACTACTCTAGATACCTCATATAAATGGAATCACAGTATTTGTCTTTTGTGTCTGGCTTATTTCACTTGCCCTAATGTCCACAAGATTCATCCATGCTGTTGCATGTGTCACTATCTCCTATTTTAAGACTGAATAATATTCCATGTATGTATATATCATATTTTGTCCATCCATTCATCTGACAATGGACATCTGACAATGCTTCCACCTTTAACTATTGTGAATAAGCTACCGTGAACATAAGTGTACAAATATCTCTTCAAGACCCTATTTTTAATTTGTGTGTGTGTGGGGGGGAGAAATGCTGCACTATTTTTCATAGAGGCTGTACTCTTTTTACATTTCCAACAACAGTGTAGAAAGGTTTAAAGGATTCTATTTCTCCATATCCTTACCAGCTTTCATTTATTTATTTGTTTATTCATTCATTCACTTACCCTTATACTTACTTTAGTATCCATCCTAATAAGATTTGCATTGTGATTTGTACTAAATTTCCCTTATGATGGTGAATCTTTTGAATAACCCTTTTGGAGAAATGTCTATTCAATTCCTTTGTCCATTTTTTTAGTGTTTATTTAAATTCTTTTTTTTTTGGCGGGGGGTTACTGAAGATTGAACCTCGGGCCTTAAAACATGCTAGGTAAGCATTTTATCACTGAGAAATATCCCAATACTTTTCATTTTTTATTTTCAGATAGGGTCTCACTAAGTTGGCTAGACTGGCCTCAAACTTTCCATCCTCCTGCCTCAGTCTTTTAAAGTAGCTAGGACTACAATTGTGTGCCACTGCACCCAGCTAACCATTTTTTTAATTTAAAAAAAAATGAGTTGAGTTGTAAAACTTCTTCATGTACTTTAGATATTAACCCCTTATCAGATATATGGTTTATAAACATTTCTCTCCCATTCTGTAGGTTGCCTTTCATTCTGTTGTATTCTTTGACACACAGAAATTTAAAATTCTAAAGTAGCCCAATTTATCTATTTTAAAACAGATTTTTGTTGCTTGTGCTTTTGTTGTCATTTCCAAGAAACTACTGCTAAATCCAACATCATAAAGCTTTACCTGTTTTCTTTTGGGAGTTTTATAGTTCTAGGTCTTACACTTGGTCTTTGAACCATTTTTAGTTAATTTTTGCATATCGTGTAAGGTAGGGATCAAATCATTCTTCTTTGATTGTAAAGAATCAGGTAAAACCAATGAAAATACTTTCTTAAGGTTTATTATCTGACTTAAACTTTTTTTAAATATTTATTTTTTGTAGTTGGACACAATACTTTATTTATTTATTTTTATGTAGTATTGAAGACTGAACCCAGCGCTAGGTGAGCATTCTACCACTGAGCCACAATTACCACCTTACACTTTTGAGAAGGGTTAGAAAAGTTAAATATAAGTTAAATTAAGTTTCCTCAGCATCATTTGTTGAAAAGACTGTCCTTTCTCCCACAAATCGTCCTGGCACCCTTGTTGAAAAGTATGGATTATTAAACATATGTTTACATTTGAAATATAAGAAAATTTAAAGTACTGTATAATGAAAATTATATAGTATTAAACAAAGAAAAGTTTAATTTTTCATAAAGGGATAGAAAAGGAGAACAGGAAAGAAATATTTTTATTATAAAATATTTTCTATCAAAAAACAAAAGTTGGTAAACTCAAAGTTAATTCTTAGTAAGTTTCAAAGTAATTAAAAATGCTAGTTAGGAGGGCTGCGGTGTAGCTCAGTGGTAGAGCGCTTGCCTAGCATGTACGAGGCCCTGAGTTCGATCCTCAGCACCACATAGAAATAAATAAATAAAGGTATTGTGTCCAACGAAGACTAAAAAATAAATATTAAAAAAAAAATGCTAGTCAGGTGTGGTGGCACATGCCTGTAATCCCAGCAGCTCAGGAGGATAGGCAGGACGAGTTCAAAGCCAGTCTCAGCAACTTAGCAAGGCTCTAAGCAACTCAGTGAGACCCTGTCTCTCAATAAAATACAAAATAGGGCTAGGGATGAGGCTCAGTGGTCAAGTGCCCCTGAGTTCAATTCCCAGTATCCCCCAGCCAAAAGCATCTGATTCATTCCTGCTTTGCTTTCACTGATGGATTTCTACGACTAAGCATCAACATCAGATTTCTATTTTAACTATCTGTGTATTTTACTAGTATTCTGTACATTGAAAACAGAAAATTTTGGATCACCGATAAAAATGACATTGTCTTTTTTCTGTTTGCAATAAATAAGGCAAATTATTTTTTCCTGTATATTTTTCCTCTTATAAATTTTATTTGGTCTTCTTCTAAAAGGATTCTGACAATCATCCCATTCCCTACCAAAAGTACCTGATCACAAATTGAACAAATTAATTTATGAACACTTTTAAAGTGCTCATAATTTCTAATACCACATTCTATTTTTGCCATTTCTCTAATTCTAAGAAACTGATCACAGGATGACTTCTCTCTATCCTCACAGCTTATAATTTAAAACAAACAGGGAAAGAAAATGTATATGATGGCATTATCTGTTCCAGGACAGCCATAGCATCAACTCTGCCAGGGTGAACTATTAAATGCTTGCTTGAAGGCAAAGGTCCTATTTTGATCACTTTTATTTCCCAAAGAACTACAACACAAGATTGTACACAATAAAGAAATGTAATCATGATGCAATACCGAACGTAAATAGATTTAGAAATTTGCTTAGCTTCTCTCAGTCTACTCGTTCTGTCTGCTTAATTTGGCTTTTCCCTGCTCTCAACTTAGCAACAGAAATAGGAAGCAAGCTTCCTCAAAGTGTAAAGTACCAGGTAAAACCAAAGAAAGTAATTTTTTTAAGTATATTATCTTTTTCTGGTTCAAATTTTTTGGAGGGTTAGAAAAATTAAATATTTTTCCTTAAAATCTTTCCTTACAAATCCTGCATTTCCCTAAACTGCATGTAAAGTCAATTTATTAAGAATATTTTTAAGTGGGAGTAAGAATAGCAATGGAAACTTAAAGGGAGCACCTGGCTGAACCACAAATGACTCAGTGTGGGGTTAGCCTCATGGTTATTCCTCACTAATACATGAATTTTCATAGTTGTATAATGTTATCAAGACTTAAAAGTATATGAGGAAAAAAAAATACTTCAGCTGGTACAGTGATGCATGTCTGTAATCCTAGCTACTAGGAGGCTGAGGCAGGAAGATCACAAGTTTGAGACAATCCTGGTCAATTTAGAAAACTTTTTAAAGGAGGGGGCCAGTGCTGGGAATATATCTTAGAGGCAGAGCTCTCCTGGGTTCAATCCCTAGTACCACAAAAACTAAAAACAAAGCTTTAATTCCCATAATATCAAGCATACTACAGCACTAATTTTGCTTTTGATAAACTTCATTAACTATGATGTATCATTCTTATAAAATGTCTGGTATATAGCAGCCACTTAGCACATTCTGTTGACTAGGACCTCCTTTGTTCTTGAACCTGGCTTGGCTTATATTTTAAATCTTAAGATCTAATATAATTTCAGAGAAACTGGGTTTGAATCCTGGCTTTGACGCTGTCTCTCTATGGGCAAATTCCTTAACATCTCTGTATATCAGTCTTCTCATATATAAACAAAAACCCAGAAGAAACAAAAATGGTTGTAGTAGGTACCCAAACAATAAAAGAAAAAATTTGACAAGCTAAACTTCATCCAAATAACTACTGTTTCTTGAAAAACCAATTAAGAAAAGGAGAAGGCTGAAAAGGGACCAAGAGAATATGCTTGCCAAATACATATCTGTCAAAGTTCTTGTCTTGTTAGTACAACTCAGTAGGACAAACAACTGATTCTTTTAAATAGGGCAAAGGTTTGGAAAAACATTTCAGAAAAGAAAATATACAAACATTTACAAGAAAAGATACCTTCTAATTACCAAGGAAATGTGAACAAGAAACAAATGAAATATCATTTCATACCTACTAAAATGGCTAAAATTAAAAAGAACTGACAATACTAAATGCGATGAGGATGTAAAAAACTGAAATTCATGCATTCTGGTAATGGTAGTCACTTTGAAAATTAACATGTCAGTGTCTCATAAAAACACACACTTATTATATGACCAGCAAGGCTACTCCCAGATATTTATTTACCAAAATAAATGAAAATGTAAATCTATACAAAGATACACATGTGAATGTTCATAACATTATTTATAAAAGCCCCAAACTGGAAACAAACAAAATGTCCAACTTATGAATGGATACACAGTGACATTTCTTTACTGTGAAACAGGACTTAGCAATTCAACATGAATGAATCTTAAAATCATTGTTAAAGAAGTCAAATACCAACAACAACATATAATTCTATTTATGTTAAATTCTACAAAATGCAAAATTATAACAGAAATCAGATTACTGATTGCCTAGGGTCTAAGGTTAAGGAAGACAAATGACTGCAAAAGGATATAAGAACATGTTTAGGGTTGGTTGAAGAAATTGATTATGGTGGTAGTTATAGATTAACAAAATTCAGTAATTGCTTAAAAAGATAAATTTTAACATCTTTAAATAATGTCTCAATAAAATATTTCAAAGAGGCTTAAACACAAATGCTAATATAACTGTCACCTAAACTACATTAGATAAGTTGAATAGAGAATCTAAAAAATAACAGAATTAGCACAAGGATTAAATGAGATAATACATGTATGTATAAGGCCCTTGGCCTATACTGCAAGTACTTAAAAAAAATATTTACTTCATTTTGGTTTAATCTCAATAATAAAAGGGAACTATAGGTATGTGAAAAATCTAAAATTGTTGGTTTATTTCTTTTAGTTCTCAGATCTGAGTGAAAAATATAATTTTTTTAATAATTTTTTTTTTAGTTGTAGATGGACACAATACCTTTATTTTTATGTAGTACTGAGGCTGGAACCCAGTACCTCACACGCGCTAAGCAAGTGCTCTACCCTGAGCTACTACCCCAATCCCCATAACAGGATTTTTATCTTCAAGTTAGTCATATAACAAAAGCATAAAAAACAACCTCAATGAAGCAGCCATCAGAAGAGAATCCATTTTTCAGCTAGAGATTTAGGTCAGTTGGTAGAGTGCTTGTTTCGTATGCACAAGGCCCTGGGTTCCATCCCCAGCACCCCCCCCCCCAAAAAAAAGCAATGCTATTAGAATAGAATCCATTTTTCCACACCTTTTTAGGAGTGAGCACGGAGGCAGTAAGACTTTAGTGTTCTTGGATTTATTTATAAGAATATGAATAGAATAACTCATCTCCAAAATCTATCTATCTCCTTCATTTTAATGAAATTTTTTGGCAAGAGGGGGGAGGATGGGAGAAAACAAAACTCCTTTTTTAGAAGTACATATGAAAACCTAGGCCATTTTCATTTTAACTTTTTTTTCTTGGTACCAGGGATTGAACCAGGGGCACTTTAACCACCGAGTTATATCCCTAGCTGTCCCCCATCCCAGCCCTTTTAAATGTTTTTCATTTTTATTTGAGACAAGGTCTCGCTAAGTTGCTGAGGCTGGCTTTGAATTTGCAATCATCCTGACTCAGCCTCCCAAGCCTCTGGGATTACAGGCATGCACCACTGCACCCAGTTCATTTTAACTCCTTTTTAAGTGAATTATGGATATAGTTTAAGGAATTCAGAACATGTAAAATTCAGTCAAGAAAACTCAATGATCCATCTCCTCACCTTAATCTCTGTAACATATTCCATGGTAATAATATCCAGTTCATTTTTTTGTCTTTCCTAATGTTCTGGGAGTAAGAAAGATGGCTAAGCATTGTTTCAAAATGCCTGTATGCATGCATAATAAATAGAGTTAGGACCCAAACTGCTATAACACAGTTCTTACCAGTCAAGAACCCAAACAGTGACAATATTAATAAATACCTGAGTGCTTACTTACTATGTGTTAGGCTGAATGCTAAGCAATGATATGCATTATCTTACTTAATCTCAACATCATAAGGTAACATTATATTTAATAGAATGTAATAACAGTATACACAATTATTATCCTCACTTTAGATGAGGAAAATAAAAGTTTAAAAGATGGTACAGAAAAAGTAACGGAAATGTACTATGTGTCAGTATAGCTCAGATTTGTGTATCGACCTATAATGGTGTGGATCTGGAACACCTTCTAAAGACTCATGTGTGGGCTTGTTCCTCAATGCAGTAGTGTTCAGAGGTAGGGTTTTGGGGAAGTGACTGGATCATGAGGGCTCTGATCTATTAATGGATTCATTAATAGATTCACCTATTAATGGATTAGAAGGTAGGTCCTGGAAGAGTATTTCTATTTCTTATCCTTGGTACATGCACACTCCTCCCCCTCCCCTGCCCAGTTTGCCAGCCACCATGAGGTGAACAGCTTTTCTCTGCCATGCCCTCCTGACATAATGCTTTGCCTTATCTCAGGCTCAAAGCAGTGGAGCCAGCCAACAATAAATTAAACCTTCTGAAACTATGAGTCAAAACAAGTTTTCCTTTAAGTTGTTTATGTCAGGCATTTTGGTCACAGTAACAAACAGCTGATTAGCACAGTACCTTATCTTTTTTTCATTTTTTTAAAATTATTTTTTAGTTTTAATTAGACCCAATACATTTATTTTAATATGGTGTTAAGGATCGAACCCAGGGCCTCACACGTGCCAGGCTGAGCCACAACCCCAGCCCCTTTTTTCATTTTTTAAAAAAAAATTTTGTTAGCTGTATAAAACAAGTTTTTAAAAATTATTTTATTTTATTTATTTATTTTTATGTGGTGCTGAGGACCAAACCCAG